GACGTTTATCTGTTGATGACCTTTTGACCTCCTGAATTCTGCAATGAGATTTTCGGGTCGATTCAGCCGAGACGGCCCGAGTGGAGTTTCATGTAAATGTTTCGTACGGGAAAAAAAATCGCAACCGGCCACCCGAGTGGTGAAATTTGATTGGCCAAACAATTGGGCATTGGGAAACTACTTTGGAAATTCCAAAGTTGAAAACCGTACTCAAAGACTTGTAGACTAGTCAATGCTAATATTTACTAAACCTGTTGTACTTTTTTACTGTAATTGTAGTCATTATCCTGTTCGGTGTATGTCTATTCCTTTGGAATACAAAGAATGTCTGCAATAACGTGTTACACAATGTTGTTCAGTTAAAAGATAATTGTCTAGAGACGTACGAGTTCGTTTGTTTGCCGTGACGATTTCATTAAACTTTGGTAAATCTAATAACTTGATGGCGTCTTTATTTCATCACTCGCCACTGAGGAAGGACTAAAAGTGTTGTCCGAAACATCGGTTATATTTCTGGCTAAACGTTTACATTTTAGCTGTTGCTTATTAAATTTGTATTTTTCAATTTATATAAATTTGTCTTAATTCCATAACTATATACTTATTATATATAATTACACTGTATATTACACACACTTATAATTAAGTAGGCTTATGTACCGACAGTATATTACAATGGGACAATTTTATTATGCCGCTTAGTGCACGCTTCATAATGATATCAGTGTGTGTGTGGGAGGCTTCATGCTCAAACAAAGAACATTCTACTAATATTGATGCGATTGGCAGATGCCTAGAGGAAATTGAAGACCTGCCAATTGAGCACGAACTACGTCACTTGGCAAACTTCGACCTCAGCTGCGGTCGCAAGAGTTTCCGCAAGATGTTAGTTATAATGATGAATCTGATATTAATATATATTAATGTAATATTTAGGCTTAATAATAATAATATTATAAATATAAATTAGAACCTTATATCTCTGGATAAAGCAGAAAACAAAGGAACTTACGTTTTAAGCTTTCGACTATCACTGTGGTCTTGTTCACAATGACACACGATGGAAAATTGCGTCATAGGGATTGTGACGTCAGCGGTGAGGCCAGTGGGCAACTGCAACTTTGGAATTGGTCATGGTCCTCACCTCCCAACATTTTTCAAAATTTATTAGTGGAGAAAAAAGAAAATTTATTGAAATGTGTATCTGAGAGTGCCATTTCCGACCAACTCGAAGTGCCATAATCATAAATTTTCTTACCTCAGCCCCGACCATGGTGCGACTGAGGTCCATCTGTCCATCTGTAAAAGTACCTCACTGGGCCCCCTCTATTTCGAATTCCTGGATTCGTTATTGTATTTTGAAAATATATTGTGGAAATAAATTAATTACATTCCTTAAAATCAATTATAAGACATAAAAGGCTATAGACGCCAGAGCTTCCGGGGCATTCGCCCCATGGACCCCACCGGGGGCTAGGCTGCCCCTG